CCACGCCTACCTAAAACGGCTCGTTCTAACACGCCCCCACATGTCTACGTCACTATGTGGGAATATTTGCATAACGCCGCCCAAATGTTCACGCAAAGAAAGAAGGCGTACCTTTATTGTTGCTGCCGCCGCCATGTTGTGAAAACGTTGTGTGTTTCGTTGCGAAAGCGAAAATATTTTGTTTGGCCTTACAAAAGAGGACACCACTAGAAATCAGTGGTTAAGTTGTATTTACAACACTGTTCCAGTTTTTTAGCAACATCATATGACCCCTTTAAATCTTATTTAACAGAGCGATATTTTTCAGTCAGAATTGGCAACTTTACTTCCTCTGCTGCCCACCTCGAATCTGGTCTTCTCCAGGGATCTATTCTAGCACCTCTGCTCTTCTCTCTCTACATGCTTCCCCTAGGTTCGATTCTGAGAAGGCATGGTGTATCTGCCTATTAAAAGAAATGATCCCTCAGCTATTCAATCCTTATTTGCATGTCTTGATGAGGTAAAACATTGGTTGGCTAGTAACTTTTTAACCTTAAATGACTCAAAGACTGAGGTTATTGTCTTTGGCCCATCTGACAATTTCAAATTTAACAACTCGACCTTGGATAGCCTATCAGTCTTTGAATCAAAGTGTGTCAGGAACCTTGGTGTTCTTTTGGATAATCGGCTCACTCTAGATAAACATGTTTCCTCGGTCATTGCTTCTAGCTTTTTTCTAGCTTCGCTTACTTTCTAAAATTACCAATTTTTTGCCTGAATAATCTCTCGAGACAGCTGTTCACGCGTTTATTACCTCTCGATTGGACTATTGTAACTCTTTGCATTGTGGCATCGCAAAGTTCCAGGTCGCTCGTTTACAATTGGTCCAAAATGCAGCCGCCAAATTTCTTAAGAAAGGCCACAAATACGACCCCGCCACCCCTTTTTTGTGAGCTCTTCACTGGCTCCCAGTTCATTTTAGGATAAATTTTAAAATTCTCCTATTTGTTTACAAATGTCTACACAACCTTGCCCCGTGTTACCTATCGGAATTGCTGCATTCTTATAACCCTACTAGAGATGTAAGATCAGGTAATCAAAACCTACTTATGGTTCCTTGCACAAGGTTGAAATGCAGAGGAGATAGAGCATTTTTGGTGATGGGCCCTAGATTGCGGAACAGCCTGCCAGCGCACCTCAGAGCTGCTCCATCTCTATCGGTTTTTAAATCTCTTCTGAAAACTCACTTGTTTTCTTTAGCTTTTAATAAGTTGATGATGTTTGAATGTGTTACTTTTTGATCATTTTGTTGTACAGCACTTTGGTCAGTCTTGTTACTGTTTTTAAACGTGCTTTATAAATAAAAGAACTAGAACTAGAACTTGTATTGTTTATTTCAGATGTACATCTTCATTCAGGCTAATTAGTCACTCAACAATGAAGTACAATAAAGAATGAGCCACGTATTAATTAGTAACTGATAGTATTTACCTGCTATACACTACCAAAAGTTTGGGGTCAGAAAAAAATATATAAAATTTTTTTTCAAAAAATCTTACTAATCCCAAACGTTTGTGTATTTACTCCATTTTTGTTGCATTTCCCCTGTTGAACTCTGCGTGTTTATGAAAATCCTGTGATTTAGGCCAAGTACATAGGATTATATAATATAGTAAATCTGCCAGAGGACAGCTGTTTCACAGTATTGGTGCAAAGCAACACATTTTAACAGGTGGAAAGATGATTTTCTGAATTCTGTGCATTTCAGATACTATCAGTTCAGCTCTCAGTCTATCATCTGAAAGTGTGTTTCCTGTAATTATATCTCCATCATATTTTGGGACATGTTTTTAATTATAATGGGGAGATTTGAATGCAGATTAGACTTAACGGATAAAGCAAACTAAACTAGGGTGACTGCCAAAAGAACGTTTTTAAAAGGCGTTGGTCTGACCTCACAATCCACAAGACAGCCACAGTGAGCAAAGGTGAACTGGAGAAAATGCCACAAACTGTTAGATTAAACAATGATGCTGATTAATATGAGAGCTTTCCAGAATAAAACACCATGATGCCATCAGACCATGATACTATAGACAAAAATAGACGATGAAACAGATGAAAAAAAATCACATGTCCTCACATCGAGAGAATTTTGAGCTCTTTTGACTTAGGCCAAAAAACAACCACCTAGCAACCAACCAGAACACCCTGGCAACCACCTTAACCTGGCAGCAAGAGTTGGCTATAACAAAATTGCTCTGTTTTCTCAAAAGCAATACAAATGTATACAGAATAATAATAATAATAATAATAAATGTATGAATTACGGTGGAAGTGATAGTTTTTACATTTTATGATGTATTTAGCATCTGAATGTTGGACTAGAAACCAATTAAATGTATGAATTACGGTGGAAGTGATAGTTTTTAAATTTTATGATGTATTTAGCATCTGAATGTTGGACTAGAAACCAATAATCTGCTAATGGATCTAACAGTGAAATGCATTTTCCAAAGATCATAATTGTAAAATCTGCAAGAATTTCCCAAAAGCCAACAGCTAGTCATTTGTTTTTTTTATACATAAAATGACAAAAAGCAGTTTTCGTACCTGTGATTAAATTGTTAGTTTTGTCTAGTTTTTATTATAATATCATTGTAATACTATTATAGTTTTTAATGATATTGTGAATTAGTTTTCATTTAAAACCATTTTAGTTAAAGATTGATTGATTGATTTAGTCTGTCTTCATGTTTAGTTATTTTAGTACAAGTTAAACTAAATGGGAATTAGATTGTTGTTATTTTATTTCAATTTTTTTGGGAACTGATTTTTTAGATGCTCCTGAGTTATGTACAATATATTATAAAATAAAATATAATTTTAAATATTAAATGTTTTCCGGGAAGAGATGGTCTTTTCAAATTAATATTTTGGCAGCCTTTACATAGATGACCTTAAAGGTATCAAACAAATGCCAAAAAACAAAAGTCAACTGGTTTCTCTTGGTATTTTCCACATACTCAAGAAATAATGTCCAAAGGGTTTAATGTTAGAATATTTTACCAAATTTACAAACAAACACTATACACTGATCTTACTAAATCCCAATTAGTGCTCAAAATCAATGCTTCCATTCTGTTAAATATTCTTGATCCACTGGTTCTTTTAAGAGCTCTTCTAAGCTTACCAGCGTTCTGCATTTCACCGGTCACTAATGGGGTATTTATAGCAGGTGTATCAGTGGGGGCTGGCATCTTCCCATAGGGGCCTGTATGGGAATGCCTGTTAGGGCACGGTCACTTTCCTAATATATCCCATATCCCTGTTTCAGCTTCAAGACAGCACTCTAGCTCTGCATTCACAGTGTGTATGTGTAAGAGTGTGTGAAACTGTTTATGCGTGTTTTGATGCCGTCGATGAGCTGCTTTGTGACTTTACGAACTTCATATTGATGAATGGCACCATGATGCGGAGTATGGATGCAAGGGAAACTGAGATCGACCTGAGGGATGCAGGGGATGGAGAGGATGACGAGGGACAACAGACGTGGAAGACCCAGCTGGAAACTGTCCTGGAGGAAGAGGAGGAGGAAGATGTGATCTCTACACAGAGTGACACCAGGCCTCTGATCAATGAACGGGACCCAAGACAAATAAATGAGTGTCTTAAGGTAATCTCTTCATGTCCAACTGCAATAGTTCTTCATTGTAACACTATAGAAATGTCACTTTCGATGGTCACAATATATATACAGTATATATACATGCACACTGTGTATATATATATATATATATATCTTAGCTGTCCATCGTGTTCGATGATGACGCTTGCTCCAGAGATGGGAGTGGGAAGGGGGTGGGTTCAGCGATGTTGCCTCTGGTGCCACTTCTCGTGGGTGTCGAGTCCGATCCTTGAGCCACATACTCTTCCGCAGATAGGGCAAGGGAAACCAGATACCAGGGGGGTACCAGCCGCCCTCTGGTGTCTCTTAGTGCATCTCTCGGATCGTCGGTCTTGGTTGGTTTGATGTATTTGAGAGACTGCAGTGGCACAGGTGACCTGCCAGGCTGACCTGTCAAGTGCCAGAGATTCAAGCTGCGTGAGGGGAATGTTCGCTCGCTTTAGGAGGTCCCTGGTGTAATCCTTAAAGCGCCGTTTTTGCCCTCCAGCAGAGCGCTTTGCGCCCATTAGTTGACTGTAGAGGACTTGGCGGGGCAGGCGATGTTCAGGCATGCGTATGGTGTGCCCTAGCCAACGCAGATGTTTTTGGGCCACTGCTGCTTCCATGCAGATTGAGTCAGTATTGCTAAGGATGACTGTGTGGGGAATTCGAGCTTCCCAGGACAAATTGAGGGTCTTCTGTAGGCAGCGGATATGGAAGGCCTCTAGGTTACTAATGTGCTGGCGGTATGGGGTCCATGACTCTGCCCCATAAAGCAGAGTGGAGAGACATACCGCATTGTAAACAGCGACCTTGGTACTGATCTTCAGGTTATGGTTTTCAAAAACCCTGCTGCGTAGGTGTCCAAAAGATGATGAGGCTTTATTTATTCGGGTGTGTATTTCTGTGTCAAGGGAGCAACATGAGGACAAGGTGGAGCCGAGGTAGGTGAAGTGGTCCACTGTTTTAAGTGGAACACCATTTATGTGAAAACTGGGGGGTATGGGGGCGGGGGTAGAGAGATAGGACATAACCTCGGTTTTTTGAGTGTTAACCTGTAGACCAAAAGATTGGTACAGACTAGATATTGTATTTAGAGCGTGCTGCATAGAGTCCGGACTGTGGGCCAAAACGGCACAGTCATCAGCATACTGAAGCTGACAGATTTGGCGGGACTTTATCTTTGTGCGGGCCTGGAGTCGACGGATGTTAAAGAGGCTACCGTCAAGTCAATATTCTACATGGACACCGTCTTCATGCCCCATGACACGATGGAAGAGGCAGGTGATGGCAGAGAGGAGGATGGTAAAGAGCACCGGAGCCAAGACACAGTCTTGCTTCACCCCAACGTTTACCTCGAAAGACTCAGACTGGAGTTCTCCCATGAGTACTCTGGCTTGCATCCCATCGTGCAGCTGCTGTAGGATGCTAAGAAACTTGGGTGGTACCCCAAGTTTGGAGAGGTTTCTCCAGAGCAGCTCACGGTTGATGGTGTCAAAAGCTTTGCTGAGGTCGATGAAGGCTACGTGAAGGTCTTTGTGCTGTTCTCGACTCTTCTCCAGCAGCTGCCTCAAGACAAAAACCATGTCTGTCGTGGATCTGGACTTCCGGAAGCCACACTGAGTTTCCGGAAGCACAGCCTCCGAGATGTGCTCGACCAATCTGCTGAGCATGATCTTGGCCAGGACTTTCCCTGCGATAGAGAGGAAAGATATCCCGCGGCTGTTACCGCAGACTGCTCTGTCTCCTTTCTGCTTATAAATTACCACGATGTTAGCATCCTTCCAGTCTTGTGGGAGGGACCCATGTTCCCAGATGTTTTGGATCAGGAGATGGAGATGGCGCGTGAGGATGTATCCTCCTTGTTTGAAAACCTCTGCAGGGATTCCGTCGGGTCCAGCGCATTTGTTGTTCTTCAGCCCTGCAATGGCTTGCCGGAGGTCAGAGTAAAG